CTGGCACGTTTGAAACAAATAATATCATCCCGTGAGTAACGATGGCGCATGATAGTGAGTGAAAAGGTGAAAATTCCCACAATGTGAGGGAGAGCGTGTAAGTGTAGCGCAGCCAATCGAAGGGCGCGCGTGATAATCTCAACCAGCCAGGAAAACAACGGGAATTTCACAGCTAAGAAGCACAACACAGTTGTTTGGAAAGTGACTCGATCTCATCAGCAATGCGATTCTATCAACCTAGCCGATGATAGAACCCCGAGACCTCACACTTTAGACGCAGGGATACTACCTTTGTAACCCGGTGGTTCAAGTGAAAAAGTTTTCTAAGGTCTTGGAACATAAATTGAAATTAGCATTGGTGGCAATTATTGTTGATCATTCAAGAGACTTTCAGGGACACTATGATGCGTTTACCAGGCTTCATATGCCGTTGTGAAAAGCCAGGCTCTTTATTCGGATTTTTTATCCTTTTGGAGGAATGACGCTATTGAATTTCATAGAAATGATTTACGGAATATAAGCATCATAATTTATCACCATTGACCAATTGATTCTCCACTATTATAAAAAACCATGATTTCATGGTCGTCTGCTATTTCCTTTTTGACCAAAACATTGCATACGTATATAATGATATATACAGAACCGCTTTATACAAAATTTATCTGCATTATTACCAGGCGATCTAAATGACTCCAAATGTTTCGTATTTTATTTACTATCAAAAACTCAGGGAGTTGGCAGAGAAGTTGGACACAACGGAATCACATCTTCTCCTCGGTGACGCTTACATGACCATACAGGAGCCGGAACGTGCCATTGAAGTGTACGAATCGGTGCTTCGTAAGAATCCAAGTGATTTACGACTGGCGACAAAAATGGGTGAAGCTTTGGTTCAGACACACCATTACGCAAAAGCCGTGTCATACTATGAGGCAGCTGTGAAGGATGGTCAAACCCCGTTATTATTAGATCTCATAGATTTATTGATCAAGTTAAAACAATTTGACAAAACCCGTCGTCTGATCACCCCATTGGTCACATTCACACCTACAGATCCCAGTGAGTTGCCGGAATTGATTTTACCGAGTTGTTCTTTTTGTGAGAAAAAAATTATCAAAGTTGTACACTTATTTTGGTTATAGGACAGAAATTACCCACCTCGACAGAATGAAAAGAAATGGATGGAACATGTGTCGGGCGTAATGGTCTTGCGGAACCTTTTCTATAATAGCGTAGCATTAAAGGAAGATCGCCAGTGCTTTGCAGTTTATAGAGTTCCAGTGATCAAATCTCGTCCGGATTTCTTCCTCTGTTAGTATTTCTGCTGAAACGAACTATAAGAGGTGTGTATCCAAAGTAGTTTTATCGACTAATCGCAGTGGGTTTCATTAAGCAGAATCTAGCCTACGCAGGAATTGATATTTCTAGATAGTCTAGTATGGCATCAAAACAAAATCAGTAGCTTGAATGCACCCTATCCCAAAAGTAAAACAAAAACAACAAACAAAAGTCAAAATTGAGTGGAGTAAATAAGCCAAAGTAATTTTTATCCAATATTCAACATTGTTTTTTTCCCTTGTTCTATTTCTGTATTTCTATTTCAATCTAGAAGATTTACCCGGGTAAAAATGTGCACATTTTTGACCGCCGGTAAAGCACCGAGTATTAATACAAACTTTAACAATCAATGACAATCTGTTTCAGAGAATTTCCCCTTTTGTTTCATTCAATACACCGCGAGTCACTGTAAACGTTATTGCAAACTGATTTACTTCTAAATGAAATACTGAATCTTTAAATCGTACTCGCTAACCTGCAAAGGAAGAATTTGTGTTCACAGAGAGAAATCAGTGATTTCAAGCGAGTAATGGAGGATTTGGTTCAATTTCAAAGATGAATTCGTCGTGTGTATGACAAATGAAGCGTGGACTGAAAGGCTAGGAAGCACTGGACAGCCGTTCCGACCTGGTTGGGTTTCATCATCCTTACAAACCGAGCGTTGAGCGCGCATGATTCATTGGCGTCAGCGGTGGGAGACGAATACACACGTAGACATACTTTCAAGATAAACAACTAATATGTATGTCACGGGAATTGTGGCGTGTTTGACCGAGACGCGCCTCACAATCGTCCCCCCGCTCTTCAACGGGAGGTAGGGAAATCCGTGTTGCATGGTGGTCATCCAGACATCGCTGTGAGGTTAGTCAGCACCAATGAGGCCAACGAGATAGCTTGAAATAATGCTCAGACTTCTTGAAATCATATTCAGACAACTTGAATTGCAAAAGGTATAGATGAAAGACGAATTCTGACTTCCTATGTGTAACGCTATAGGCTTGTTTCATTATCTTCGCTAAGTGTTTCGGGCTCTAAAAGAGACTAGTTTGAAGACTGGCTTCCCACCTATTCATCTTATTTCAAATTACTGCATAATAAAAATTTGGTTTTTAATACTTCCGTATCAAAGATTCTGATTTGAGATCATCGAAGCATATCCGAAAAGTTTCCCGAGAACAGCGAAGCGCATTTACTGATGTGCCAAAACATGAACATATCGATACATTTGGTGACAATGAACAGGCCGTCAAACAAAGGAATGATGTAAATGATGAAGAGTAATAGAAAGACGAATACCATAATAACAGTTGTTGGTAGGGATAGAATTGAATAAGTAACTTATCTGTACTTCTATAACGCTCTTCCGATAACTAAAAACGGATATTTGCAATCAAGGTTATTCCATTTCCCCGATCGCTCTTTTACCCAGTTCCAAAATGTCATCTATCGATCACGTGAATATTTGTGTTCCTACAAAACCAATTCTCTGGAGACAGCATCGCAGGGACGGCATTTAATTGTGATGCGATTTATCATCTCCATGGGTTGCAAGCAGTACCAGGCTTACTGACTTCACACAGAAATGTCTGGTTCGTAGTTAGCTAGAGGTTTTTCCTTTCCTGCCCCATGAATGTCGTTGCACAATTTTGTTATACCATAAAACACCTGAAAAACAATCATTCAGCTTTGCGGATTTTCCATCTATCATAAACTTTACCATCTGTGTCCTATCCGAAGAGCATTTGGTTGCGTTTGTTTTAGATCTATTGAAGTACGTAACTGGCAGACGGTAAGAAGACTGCAAGTGTGATACCGAACAGTGTGTTCTTGTTGTTTGATCAGAATCTAACATCACGAGCGCGTATACTGTGCTCCATTAGTGTGTAAGGTCAATAACTGACAAAGATAAAGAATATTATCAGATAAAATAGTTATCCGGGAGGGTTTATCGAGGGACCTTTTTAGTAGAGACTCCTATCCGAACCGGTTTGAGAGACCCAGAGGAAAAATTATTCATCTGTCCCACTTTTCTATGAGATGCTACCGCATCTTGCCTGTGTAACAAACGGTTGATGCGTGCCGTGAATCAGGCGGCATCTCGACTGTCGTGTCTGTTCCTAGACTCACTCACAATCTGAGCGAGCGACAGAAACTGTCTACTGTGACCACTTCTCTGATGAGCTATTCTTTCGGGTGCATTTGCTATACAACGAATATCGGTCGTACGTTGAAGCAACTGTCTCAACGGATGAAGGAACATTGTCCAAACTGGTTAACATAAGTTAGCACAGGGACAGTATAAAGCATCATTCCTG